CACAACTCTTCGGAGAAAATTAGTTTTTAATTCCTTGTTAGTTAGAATGCTGGTTCAAAATCTGCAAAGATGACACTTTTGAGGATCAATTGCTGCTGGCTGAGACAGTCCATGCCTGGAAACACACCATTGGTTTTGTTACCTTTAATTCCACTTCATGAGCATCACTGACAGATTTGTTATTGGGACCCAAGTCCTAATTACTCAGGAAGGTACTGAAGGATACTTGTATTTTCCCTAGCCATCCAACAGATATTTTCAGATGCATGTGTAAAAAAGAGGCACAGGAGTTAAGCTATAGACATCTATTACTGAATGGTTGAGGTGAGTGAATGTAAAAAGTTATTTGTCCACCTTGGATCTAGATCCTAGTTCTGAGGAAGCAGTGCAGCCTTTCTGCTGCATTACTGATGAAACAGTTGCCAAGTATTAAACATACATGTATATACAACATAAATAAAGCACCAGAAACAGCAGATGAAACTTATTTCTAGATTTCCTAGTCTTATTTTTGTTTTGGCCACCGATTTAATTAGTTTTACTGGGTCAATATATACACACACACCCATTATAGCTCAAGTAGACATTTTCTTGTAGTCAAACACTTACTTGATTTTAGCAATGCAGCAAGTGTGTCTAAAGCAACCCTGTCAACATAACAAGAAAAGTCAAAACAGCAACCAACCAGTAAGCTTAATCTACAATACTGTAAAACTATACAAAATATTTACTGCTTACAGATTTATAAAGAGTCTAACTTCATGTTTTCCTGGTTGCACTGTAGCACAGACTTCACTTTTATATTTTACTTTACTAGGAGATCATGTATCTCAGCTATATCTGAAGTCTGATGACAAAACTTAAAAATATCAATTCAGTGTCTATACAAACTTCCAGCTTTTGCAAAAACACTGTGACAACGTAATGTTTATGAACGACACTCACTGTCTGAAATTTGTATCTTTGTTAGCAGCAGAACAAGTTCTTCCACAAAGTAAAGGGCATTATTTTAGAAAACTGCAGGTCAATAGTGGCAGTATATGAATATGCTGAGAAGCAACGCCCATCAATCTGTACTACAACACAAGATGGTCAGCATGAGATTTTCCTTGTACCCAAAGATCTTCTCTCAATTCAACTGTGCAACTACAAAACGTATATACTTATTTTTCCCCTCTTTCTGAAGATGGACTTGATCTTGCATCTGATCTTAGACCATAAAAAAGGATATCATGATTAGTCACATCATAGAATGGTATGTTCATATGTGGAATTTTAGCTGAGCCTTAAAGGGACAGGAAGGACATGCTTTATGAACACTACCCCTGTGACCACAAATACCAGATTTTGATCACACAAGGCTATTTCTTTTGTAATGAAGTTAGAATATGCACAATAATAGATTAATACTTTGTTAATCAGATGAAAAAATTAGTTTTCCACTGGTGTGTACTTCAAAAAAGTGTATTATATATTTTTTATTATATAAAGAAAGGATTATCTTCAGTTACATCCATTTAGCTACTTTTTAACCCTACATTCACCCAAAGAACGCAACCCAAATCAAAAAAACCCAAACAAACAAAAAACCCCAAAACTTACAACCACCACCAGATTGGGAATCTAAAGTCACCACTTTAACCTACACAGTGAATTTTAATCTTTTTAACACAATAGCCCACTAGAGAGAAGGTGGGGCTTCCTATTCTGTTTCATGTTCTTGCTCTGAATGTCTATTTGCTTTGCAGAAAAATGGGAAGAAAATTCTATTACGAAATAAAAGGGACAGTGTCACACTAAAAGCACAAGGCAGATCACAGGATATGCCGAATTGGAAGAGGCACACAAGGATCATCAGGTCCAGTCCTGGCCCTAGCACCACCTCCAAGAGTCACAACCTGTGTCTGAGAACATTGTATGAATGCTGTTGAACTCTGTCAGGCTTGGTGTTGTAGAAACAAAATGAAAAATGATGGTATTGTCTTGATCTGCTTGTTATGATTTGGGGTTAACCACTGTACAGTTTCCACATAGGAATATTAGACATAAAAAATAATGTATTATTTTACCAGTACTGCAACTAGACATTCAAGTATTTTGTGTTACTTTACTGGGGAAAATTAAAATCTCTCGTATTTGTGGTACTCCTTCCCATCTCCCTCCACCTTAATCTTTAAATATTAATTGCATTTGATTTCTCCAATATTGTTTGTCATTTACAAGTAAGTTTTGAAAAAATATACAAGGTTTTTCCATATAGTATATTAAAGAAATCTTACTTACTTCATAAGGCTAGTGTTCCTTTTACTAAAAGGGCCAATGATCTTAAACAGCAGTTCTACTACTCCATTTTTTCCCAGAGATACTGCATTTACAGCTGGAAGTTAAAAGCAATCCATTTTAATATAACGTAGGCAAAAGAAAAAGATCAATATACTCAAAACTAAAATTCACACAAGTTAATTTTGAAGTACAAAAAATGCTAGACATTTTTGTCCTTTAAGACACACAGTGACAAGCAGACACTACTCTGCACATAATTAGCATGATGATCCTATCCTGATAAAACTTGGAAAAGAAGAACTTAATTATTACTTTTAAATAAAACCATGCACTCCTTCCAATGCAGGCTTCTGCTTTCTTTGTTACTAAGATACAGCATAAAAAGAATTTTCTTTATAGAAATTCACACTTTATTGAAACAGAAGGTTTTCTAAAATTTCGGGTTCTGCTTGCTGCTACCCTTCAGTATTTGGACAAACAGGTGTATTCATCAGGATTTGAAATCCAAGAGTCTGCTATAAAATTTTAAAATGCCAATTGGTATAGCTTTCCTGAACTACATGTTATGAATATATGTTCTCAGAAAAAAAAAAAAGTAATCTACTTGAAAGAGGGCAAATGAAAGCAAACTATGGTAAGACCTATGTTAGAGAAATATGTGCTTAAAGTGTATGCTTGAAGTCCAACAGCCAACTGAAAATACAAACTGCTGGCACAGGCACAGAAATTCCATTCCTGACTGAGTTTAGCAATATGTTCTCCTAACAAACTAGGAAGAGAGCAGCTAAGAATTTACTTCAACATAATAAATGCTGTTTTTACTGTAGAATTTAGTGCGTGAACCCAGGTAGCAATTTCATCATCATTAGCAGCAACATCATACCATCATACCAGAATCTAAGTGAAGTTAGGACTTATTCTAATAGTAACACAAACTTGCACACAAACTTCAAGAAGTACTACTCATCAGAATATAGAAAACTACTATTTCTCTTCATAAAGAGTGAGGAATGCAGAAAAATAGAACTGATCTAAGAAGTCAAATTAGAGACTTAGTCACATTTTCAGGATGAAGCAAGTTTTCAGATAAGCAGTGCAACTAATGTAACTATCTCTATAAGACTTTTCATTTTAGAAGCATTTTACCTCATTGTCAGGCAGCTCAAGAGAAATAAAGCTTCCATGTTTTGAAAATACTAGGACTTTATGAATTATAGCTGCTCACGTGAATGACCTGAAAACATAACCTTACAGATGATCAAATCAGTTCTCTGGGGGGAACATGGCCATGTTTTCAATTCCTAGCACTTAAATAAGAACATTAACAACCATTTCAAGCTCAAATGAAAAAAATTAAGAACTAGGCTCTTGTGGAAGAATATTAGTCCAATAGTGAAGAGCGGAGCTCTTGAACAAAAGAAGTAAAAGGTTAAATTAAGAAATAATTAGGTTAAACTGAAATATTTTCTGTGTTAACCAAGTTTTAAATTGGTAATAAAGAAACAAATAAAACATGAGAAACAAAAACCATGAGAATGAATAATAATGAGAAAAAATTATTTAAGTGCTTCTGCAAGCAAAATGTTAAGCATATCTAGTTTAGAGCTTTAAGCATCAGTATTTATGCAAACTAGATGGCTCAATATTCCACACATTCAATAGCACTGATAAAAAAAAAAAATTCTAGAATTTAAGCATTTTGAGGGCATAAAAAGAAAATTCTCAGGGGAAAAAAATAGTTTAAATAACTAACATTAAACAAGCACTCGGAGTTGATATTTTAACCTTATCTAGATAAAAAGCTTCATTCACATAGGAAAGAAAATAATTTTCTGCAATACTTACAGTTGGTTGAATAAACTCTTAATACTTGAAGACATGGCAATACTAGCCTGTGGTTCTGTAAATTTTGCTTCACTAAATTCAACGATAGGTTTAGGACACCATTTATTCTTGCTTTCATGCCAATCTTCTTGTCTGACATCAAAGAAATACAACACCAATCACACTAATTTTGAAATTGTTAAAAAAATAGAAGTTAAACGTCTGAATTTTTCCTACTGAGGCCAACACTGCTTATCTACTTTCCACCATTCTTTCCTCCCCTCTAAATTACTCCCTTTTTTACCTTCTCTACCGATTCTGAGTATGTGGATGCTTACACAATAACAGAAAAAAAAATTTCTAAGTTTCAACAATAAAAGTGTAATTATTAAGCCTAATATCACCTTTTGGACCAATTTTTGCAAGAAGAGTATGAAGAAGCATCATTAGTTCTTCATTTGGAGGAGAGTCTTTGCTGGCAGTCAAAAGCAGCTGTAACAAGATCTGTGTCCCTCCTTTGGTGACTAAGACACTTGCTCTCCGACCACCACCTAGAAATTATAATTGAACTGATACATCTATAGCCAAAGAACATCAAATATCTAAGACACAGTTATCATGAAGTTAGTCTGTAGAACAGCAGTATTTTCTTTATACATGACTGCGCTAGAATATGCAAGACTGTATGCAGGAACATGCTAGACTTACACTTATAACAACACAAACTATTGTGTAGGATTATTAGAAAGTTAACTTCAGTCTTTACATTCTTTTAATTCTTCATATGCTTCAGCAAACAACAACAAACAAAAACCAAAACAATGATAATTTATGAAAAACCCAACAAAAAGTAACTAGCAAAAACAAACAAAAAATACCTGAAAAAGAAAGCATAAATATAATCATATATTACTCCTTAATGAAGACTTACCAACTGAGACTACCTCAATGAGAATATTCAATATATTTAGAATAGTTTGAAGATCTCTTGTATTCTGCAATAAAAAAGAGAGATCTGTGTCTAACATAGCAGTCTAATACAAAGGTTTGGATATTTAAAGCTAGGAGGCCACCACAAAATAAAGTAAAACCTTGGATGGACCCACATAGCAACCATCCCACTGTGCATCCCAAATTAACTACAAAACCAATTAAAGCACACTTTGTAGTATGGGACATCAATTAGAACTGATAGGTGACAAGCAATTTCTTAGAATATCTAAATATAAGGACGAGAAATTCACAAGTAGGTTACTTGAAGACAGTATATTTTCATTACAGACCAACACAAGTTTTGAAGACTCCATAGGATAACAACGTATTTCATAATACAAATATAATAATAAATATATACATTTCATAATGATAAAATGCAAATGCTACGAACCTATAACCACAAAAATTAAAAATTTTTACCTCTAGGGTTGACAAGATAACTTCTATTCCAGTAGAGCCCTTAGAAATAATCTCTTTCCTGGTTTTTTCTGTCAGAGAAAAAGACCAATACTGGCTTACAGAAGAAAAAATATGTTATCATCTACAAATTAACAAGAAAATTTAAATTTAAAATAATAAAACTTATTTTAAAATGTATATATGTATATAGAACTAAGTAAAAGACTTAAGTGATTTAAAACTAATTTTTGTTTTTACTTGTTCAACAATCTTGTGATGGCCCAGAAAAAAAAAAAGTAAAGAAAAATATCAGTAAGAAAGCTGCCTTCCAGATACTTCTACTTTTCATTTATATATACAGACAGACATATATACATATTAAGTGAATTATTACTTTAATTACAGCTATTTGACAACACAAAATGGACTCAGCACTACCAATACTATACTAGATACATTAAATATGGTCTTAAAAAGATGTTTTCAATAATCAGTGACAAAGACAGATGGATAATCAAGTTCACTAAACAAAAACTTAAGTCTAAAGCAGGAGACACAAGAAGCAATGGTCAAAAGGGAAACTACTGAAACCACAAAGGTTAAAAAATTACCTTGACTCTGGACCAGATGAAGGATCTTTGAGGTAACATGTCTGGCATTGTCTGATTCACCTAATACAGAGCTCACATTGATCTTCTCCAGCTGTGACAGCAGGGATAAAGTCCGAGAATTGGCAGAAACACTACAAGAAAGATATGATTTTTCCATCAAAATCAAAGAAAAAAGCTCCTAACAACAGAAGCTTGATGCTAGAGTAATGGCGGTGGCTAATTCACTTCCATATTTTATCTGGATTGCAAAATAGTCTTAATTCTCAATTCTGGCAAATTTACGGATTTTGCAAAGCCTGCACTGCAGCAGACTAATTGTATGTAACAGCATTTCCAAGAGTAACTGTGAACAGGGAAATCAGTTGCAGCAAATAAAATGCAGCTATAGGTACAAATGTTGTTCATCTATGTCATCTAGAGTGACTTATATTTAATAATTTATGTTAAGTGACAGGATACCCTATCAAACTAGCCATTCAAAGAAAAACTGGCTAGAAACAGTCCAAAAGACAGCATTTCAGAAAAGGAAGAAAATAAAGTCACTCGTGAAGTGAGCAAACTAGCATACACCAGCTGAAGAAAAAACACCATTTTGAAGAAATAAACTTCCAGAAGGCTTTCAGAATTATCATCCAAGTTTGGATTCATTTTGAATACAAGGGTATTTTGGACTGCTGTCACGGGTTTATGCTGGTCGCAGGCCAGGCACCTAGCAAAGCTGCTCACTCCCTCACTGTCCTCTGCAGCTGGCAGAGGAGAGAAATTTTAAGAAAAAGTTCATGGGTTGAGATAAGGACTGGGAGAGATCATTCTCCAAATACTGTCATGGGCAAAACAGGCTCGACTTAGAGATACAAAGTGAATTTATTACTGACAAAATCAGAGCATGATTACAAGTAAAATAACCCCTTAAAAACAGCTTCCTGCCATGCCTCCCGCCTTCCAGCTCTGCCTCCTATCCCAGCGTGCAGGGAGACAGGGAATGGGGGTTCTGGTCAGTTGATCACCCAAAGCTTCTGCTGCTGCTCAGGGAGAGGAGGTTTTTTCCTGCTGCACCATGGGGTCCCTCCCACAGGAGACAGTTCTCTATGAATTTCTCCAGTGTGAGTCCATCTCACGAGCAGCAGCTCTCAGTGACCTGCTGCAATGTGAGTCCATCCCACAGGCAATCCTCCTCCC